AATGTACTATACATATATATATATATACATATATATATATATATGTATATGTATAATGTGTGTGTGCATATACATACATACATACATACCTACATACCTACATACATACATACATACATACATACATATCGATATACATATGCATGTATATACACATACATACACATGTACACACACACAGTGTATATCTATAAACCGTGAATCCCTGGTAGATTGCCGAGCACTAACACGTACAGTGAAACCAAAAGTCCTGTGCGACCCGGTCAATTTGTCTAGCAGGACAAGACTGGTACTGAAATACCTTTTCTTAAGCATGCGCAGGATTCAACCGTTTCATCTTATCAGCGACCATTTACCGTGAAGGCAACAACTGAGTCCGTTGCTCCAAGGTCAGTGACTGCCGAGAAGTTCCAAAGTAGCATGGCGTGGGCCAAAAAGGTCGGAGGCACATAAGCAGTCGCTTGGTCAAAAGACCCCTTCAGGTGTTAAAACGTTGCAGTTGTACTGTCAGCAAGAGTTCCCCACTTGACCATGAGCAGGATGTTTGCCGCTGAGCCTGATTTCTGTTGGAGACAGCAGCCAGCCAGCTCAAGCCAACAGGTACGGTGGCCAAGTCATTGCTTGCCCCTCCCCTTCATGCTTGATGACGGCCTGACGACATGATTTCTTGTTCTGATTTAAGCTAGCCTTTGCCATGCTCAACTCTCGAGACTCGTGTTTGAGGCGGTTCTTTACCTTAAGTCAGGGATCTGAGGCAAGCGGTGGTTAGAGTAGGAGTAGGGGAGTAGCAGTGGTAGCAGCAAGATTCGTGCTGTTGTCCTGCATGCCGGCTGATATCCACCTCTACAATCCGCTGGAACGCATGGCACTCGGACTCGGACATGTCAGCACAGAGGGCAGATGCGTTTAGGATGGTGTATGTTTCCGGAGGGCCAGGGGAAGGAGGTGCATGTCTACAAAACCCCATAGGCCCTATAGAAACCCTTATAGATCCCTGTATAAGGACAGAATAGCGCGATGACGCGTCATCGAACTACAGGTCTTGCTTGTATCTCGAAGGAGTTTGTCTTGTTTGCAACAGCTGAAAATCCTGTCCGAAATCCTGATAGGGCCTGTGACCAACAAGCACTGGGCTTTGAAGTAACCTGGGATAAAAGTATAGATTTCAATTTCATAATAGTTCCTTCAATTAGCAGGTACAAGAAAAGTGTTCAAGTATGGCACTCCCTAACCCTGAGAAACAGAAAGACTTGCTTTTGGATGAGACTAGTGCTGTAAGGTGCAGCAGTTGTGACTCCTGTAGATCACTCATGCCGCCACAGTATGCTTACAGTCATGTTTTTCTCCTTCAGTCCTCTCCCAGAACTTGAAGTCGTCACTGTCAAGACGGAATTTGCGATGGCCACGCTCACTGTTTGTCTTTGAGCGGGGCGTAGCCGATGTGTTAGCAAGCAGCTGGTTGCCGGGTGAAACTGGAAACCACCCGGCTAGCGTAGGCGGGAACAGGTCCCTGAAAGTTTGACCCGATTGGGTACAGCATCCATTGCATCGATGGAGTTGTGTTCCGCAGACATTTCTGGCTTGCCACGAGTTGCGGGCAGTCACTCTCCAGAGCAAGCTCACCATGCGCACGCAGTGGCTATGCCAAGCGAAAGGTGCCAGCTTGGTTCACAATCGTAGAAACCTGAATATTTACACGGGTTTCAACTGTCTGGGGTGTACTCCAACATCACTAAACAAGATTACTGGGGAATGGTTTTATCCTTTCAGTTCTGGTTCACTTGCTTCCTGAGTAGAAAATGGTGCAGGTGATCCCTGCAGTCCCGGATGAGTCCTGCATAACCATCGGGTTTAGGGTTGAGGGTTAAGTGACCACTGGCCCCAAATATTAAACATCCCCCTATCCACCAAAAGATGCCCTATAGCGCAATAGGAGCCCCAATATGCTTGGGACCATATGTTGTGTCAGGAGGGTCGGGTGTCTTTCATATGAGGGGAAGGGACCCAAGCCTTACGACCTCCAACCCGAAACATTAGCAGCCCAAACACTAAACCCTAAACCCTAACCCTAAACCCTCAACCCCTAAACCCTAAACCCCTAAATCCTAGTCCTAAACCCTAGACATTAGCAGGCTGCTCCCAATCCTTCACGCACCTCATGGCCTACACTCTCTGCCAGGCCGCTAACGACACCTGCTCGTGTTTAAGTGAGACAGGGGGGCCGGGGCGGTTAGGGTTTAGGGCTTAGGCATCCCTATGATCACCCTCCGGTCCTGTGAGCTTCTCAAAACAATTACCAATTTTGAGAGGGTGGAACGCACATAATCTTTTCATT